CGCTGCCCATTCTTCGAGTGCCTCTCCATGGTAGAGCTCTCTTTAGTGCAGTTATACTGTACAAAACGCATGTCTGTTAGAGGGCTACGCTCGAGTAGCGATGAAGGCAAGGATGGCAGGGACAGCAAGGAAGGTGATGAAGGTCGATGGTCCTAGGACTACTCTGACCCGAACTGGAGCCAGAGCCAGAGCCCAAGCACTTCTCTCGGGCTAGCTTTTGAGTCTAAGAGCCCGGTGCCCGCCGGGCGATGGACCGGCCGATGATTAAGACATCGTCTCCTAATTTCTCTGTAGTGCCATTTGGCGGAGCAGGGACAATAACTTAGAGTTGATAAGATGAGGCTGGGGGCCATAGAACCTATTCTTTTGTATGCTGCACCTATCTGGGCAGCGGCCACCCAAACTGTGCACATTCAACGCAAACTCCTAAAGGCACAGAGGATTGCTGCTCTACGTATTTGTAGAGCATACAGAACGGCTCATACTTCAGCCCTGCTTGTCATTGCGGGCCTTCTTCCAGTGTATATCAAAGCCAGGATGGCTATTTTGAACTGGAATATCTGTAACAAAATGAATGGCAAAGTTTTCAACAGCAGCAATAGTCGTAATAACATCCTCTCTGTTTTTCCGGACCACATAAAGAGCGACATAGCTAACTTTGGCATTGAGCACAAGCTTGCAGATTCCGACTATTATGGAAATTATCCTACTCTTCGTGACAACTACTCAAATGAAAATGTTGACAGCGACTACTCCATCTATACTGATGGATCGAAGAATCTAGCAGATGTTGGGGCAGCTTTCATCCTTTACCACCATAACACCGGTGTCACCCACAGATCTGCTTTCAAGCTGGGTCCGCACTGCAGTGTGCTGCAGGCAGAAATCCTGGCCATTGCCAAGGCGATGGAACATATCTATTCTGAATGGTTCCCTCGCAACAAAACTATCACCATTTACACTGACAGTACGACGGCCCTCCATTCCATCTTCAGTCCCCATAATAAGGGTGACAATATCCTGCAAATCCATCATTACCTTAGCACCAATAGCCACAAACATGTGATTTCTTTTAGGTGGGTCCGGGGAAACACTGGTGTTCCTGGAAATGAGGCAGCTGATCAGCTGGCCAAACAGGCCGCTGCTTCCAGCCTTACTCCTTGCTACAACAAAATTACTGCTTCGAAAATCAGGCAATGGACTTGGGAATTCGCTCTTGGTCAATGGCAGGAAGAATGGGATAACGGATCTACAGGCAGATTAACGCACACCTTTATCCCAAGCATTAATGAAACACTTAAATGGAAACACTTCAAGCCAACATTCTCCATGACCCAGTTAATTACTGGACATGGTAATTTCAATAGCTATTTAAAAAGGTTTCATCTTAAAAACACAGACATCTGTCCCTGCAACGGTACTTCAATCCAAAACAGCCAGCATTATCTGTGGGACTGTGAACTTTTTAAACAGGAGAGAGACAGACTCATGGGGCATGTGCTCCATGCTGGAAACAACTGGCCATGCCCTAACAACAGACTCATGGAAGACCCGAATGTTTATCGACATCTCATCAAGTTTCTGGAAACAACAGCAGCACTCAACCCAGCATGCGATCAGCAGTCTGCTAGTAATGATTGACCAACTGGCTATCTTTTCTCACGACAATTGTTTCAGGCATCCAACCAGCTCCTCTTGTTTTGCACGCTTCTTGTAAGCGATTTCTCACTGTACATATCATGTGATTTATTATGTATATTTATGTTGTAGCTCTTATGTATATATATATATTTTTATTATTATGTTGGGTTTAGTAGGTAATACTCGGTTTAAACCGGTGGCTGTGTACTATGCCGGACCAGAGTCAAGGCATAGCAACCAAAACAAAACTAAAATTAAATGTGTGTGTCAGTGTCTGTATTAAGGAATTTCCTAACAATATGGCATGTATTCAATATAG